TTGACGATGCATGGAGTTGATAACAAAACTGTCAGCTGTTGCTTACGGTGAATAAATTATATTATATGTTAAGAGTAGGAATGAAAGGTTGAAATTCTATTTTATCTATTTTTTATGAATTTTACATGTTTTTATTTTTTATTTTTAATAATTCAAAATATGTTTTTGGCTTTGTTTATTTCATTACAATGAACTCGCCACAGTTAACGCAAGCTTTTCGGACAGCTTTTGGCTCGCTTTCCAATGTTCTTTTTTTTTAATTTTTTTCTTTTGTTTTTCTGCCAGTAAATAATAATAAAAGAAATTCGTTTGGCCAAAAGGACAATTGCACAGTTTTTAGTTTCTAGTTGGCTCAGTATGATTGATTGATTGATTGATTGATGGACGTATATTCATTTACAAGTTATCTATACATACATACATTTAAACAAATGTCTGACAAATTGCAAAAATCGGTTTGCGCAAAATTTGACATACATATATATATGTGTGTGTGTGTGTGATAGATAAAATTGTGATGGCATAAAATTCATATATTCATGAAAATATGATGTGCGCGTGTGCGTCGTTAGAACTTTTAACCTATTTTGCCATTTCATTTAGTTTTGCTATGTAATAAATTTTTTATGTGTGAAACTATCAACGAAACCAGCAATTGCAAAGTAGTGGACATTTTTTTACCGTAATTTCTAGTGCAAAAGTATTGAAAGTATTTTTATTTTTTTTTTTTTTTTTTTTTTTTTGAAATTACCCAAAAAGAAGTTCTGACAGAAAAATTAAATCTTTTCATCATAACTCATCGTCTGCTGGCTTGCGGTCAATATATTTGAATGAAAAACTCAGACCCCTACTTAAAAATGAAGTGAAATTCAAACAAAAGTTTGATTAAAAACTCTGAACTGTGAGATTTGTTTTAACAAGTAGGAAACAGTAGCTTCTCTTCATATTACCTATCCATCCTCTTCACTAGCTAGCTAGGCTTGGGTAACTGCTATCCCAGCAGCCGACTGCTTCTAGACTGCTTCTGGACTGCTTCTAGACTACAAAACAAACAAGATTGCGCTGGAAGTAGTGAGAAATAACTGAAAGAGCCGGTCCTTACCAATTTTCCAGAGTATATGAACACTGCAAATTTTCAACATGTAAGGGGCAGCATAAAGTAGGCTCTACCCTACTCATAACGAGGGACAAAATACTTTGGGAAATCGATGGATGTTAGCCGTTCTTTCCGGTTTTGATGCAGAATGTAAGATTAACAACACTGCTGATATCTGACACCGAATTATAATGTATGAAGATATATTTTAAGGTTTAACTATGTAGCTATAGTTAAAGAGATTCCCATCGAAGATGGGCGAAACATTTTTTAAGAACTATAAAAAAGTTTTCAAAAAAAAAATATATATATAAAATTCGGGTAAATGTATTAAATCTTTATTTAAATCGATAGCATGGTCCATACATTGGGTTGCCCAAAAAGTAATTGCGGATTTTTCATATTGTCGGCGTTGACAAATTTTTTCAACGGCTTGTGACTCTGTAATTGCATTCTTTCTTCTGTTAGTTATCAGCTGTTACTTTTAGCTTGCTTTAGAAAAAAAGTGTGCGAACTTTTGTTTACATTTGTTTGTTTGGCGTCAATTCAAAGGAGCATTTTCGTCATATTTTACTTTATTATTTCCGTAAAGGAAAAAACGCGGAGCATGTTGCTAAAAGGTTACGAGATGTGTATGGTGATGAAGCCCTAAAAGAAAGACAGTGTCAAAATTGGTTTCGCAAATTCCGTTCTGGATATTTTTCACTTAAAGATGAGCCACGTTCGGGTCGGCCAAATGAAGTTGATGATGACCAAATCAAAGCATTAATCGAATTGGATCGTCATGTAACTGAGCGTGAGATAGAAGAGAAGTTAAATATACCAAAATCAACCGTTCATTATCACATAAAGAGTCTTGGACTGGTAAAAAAGTTTGATATTTAGGTACCACATGTATTGAAAGAAATTCATTTAACACACCGAATCAACGCTTGTGATACGCACCTTAAACGCAATGAATTCGATCCGTTTTTAAAACGAATCATAACTGGAGATGAAAAATGGTCGTTGGTCGAAAACGATCATGGTCCAAGCATGGTGAACCAGCTCAAACCACTTCAAAGGCTGATATCCACCAAAAGAAGGTTATGCTGTCTGTTTGGTGGGATTGGAAGGGTGTCGTATATTTCGAGCTGCTTCCACGTAATCAAACGATTAATTCGGATGTTTACTGTCAACTATTGGACAAATTGGGTACATCCATCGAACGAGAAGCAGCCAGAATTGGTCAATCGTAAAGCCGTCCTTTTCCACCAGGACAATGCTAGACCGCACACATCTTTGGTCACTCGCCAAAAACTGAGTGAGCTTGGCTGGGAACTTTTGATGCATCCACCATATAGCCCTGACCTTGCACCATCAGACTACCATTTATTTCGATATTTGCAGAACTCCTTAAATGGTAAAACTTTCGGCAATGATGAGGCTATAAAGTCGCACTTGGTTCAGTTTTTTGCAGATAAAGGCCAGAAGTTCTATGAGCGTGGAATACTAAATTTGCCAGGAAGATGGCAAAAGGTTATCGAACAAAATGGCAATTATACTTTCTTTTAAAAAATCCGCAATTACTTTTTGGGCAACCCAATAGTTTAATGTTTGAAGATTATTTCATACAAATGTTGACCGTGGCTGCACCTCAAATGATCCATCCGCTTAGTCCAATTAGTCCAATTTCCGCATACTCTTTCCAACATTTCGGCCGGTATCTCACGAATAAATGCAACAATGTTGTCCTCTCATGCGTCAGTTGAAGCGAGTCTGTCTCTATAGACATTAGATTTAAGACAGCTCCGCAAAAAAAATAGTCTAAAGGCGTTAAATCTCACGATCTAGGCGGCCAATTGACCCCGAACGTGAAATGAAATGCGCACCGAACTCGCCTCTCAATAAGTCCATTGTTACGCTCCACTCTATTCCAATATCGACAATTCTGCTTACTTATGCACCCTTTAAGCTAAAATTCGTGGTTAAATTATAGACCAAACTGAGGATGTTTGACGGTGATATAAAACACGACACGTGCGTCAGCTGTTTAAACCGGTGTTGCCAAAAAGATGTTAGCTAAAAAAAAACCACCCTTTATTTGAGATTAGGTTTCATTGGCTAAGCGCAGCACGCGTATATGAAAGGTAGAACCAGCGAGACTGCACTTCTTTTACGTACCCAATATATAGAGAGAGATGAAGAGCGTCCGAAGGACATACATAATTAGAGCATTATTATTATTATTATGGCCATAACTGTTTGTGAATTACCCAAGTTAGTTTGCAGCGCTGCATAGTAGTAACCCACCTTATTTATAAATCCAGCCAGTGATGAGGTGTCAACCTCTGGGCCCCTTCCAAGTTATATTTAACACCATTTGGTAAAAAATTATTAATCCAATACGAAGCTCTCACTTTTTAAAGAAAAACAAAAAAACACAGTAAATTCAAAAGAACATTCTTTGGCTTTTATTTTGTGAAGATTAATTCTTTTAAATGTTGGCCGTGGCTACGTCTCAGCTGATGCATTCGTTGAGTCCAACTTTCGCTCATTCATTCGAGTATTTTGACTGGTAACTACCTTCAATTTCAGCCATCAAATAGTCGGTTATTAGGCGCGTTAACGGTCGCAATTAGTTGTTACGTTCTCACCGGCATCATTTTTGATGAAATATGATGATTCCACCAGCCCACAAACCACACCAAACCATTGTTTTTTCTAGATGAAATGACAGCTCATGAATGTCTTCCGGTTTTCCGCCGAATATGGATCACTTCGCGGAACAATTATTGGCTCGAAAGCGGCAGATTTTTTGGAACTTTTCAACAGCCTATAGAGTGGACTATAGAGTGTCGCTTGGGCAGATCGAGTGACTTCAGTTCTGGCAATAACTGTATTTTGTACGTTTTCAATTTAAGATAACGCCATAAAATGCGTCAAGTCGTTCCATACGTGACTCCGAGTTGCTACGAACGATGCCGAATTGACTCACCACGGTCTTCGTGTATACTCTCAGCAACGGCCGCTATATTTTCTTCATTACCTGCTGCATGTGGTCTATTCGGTCGAATATTATCCCAAAGTGAATGACGGATCTCAAGTTGGGTGCTGGTGTTACGAATAGTATGTTCAGTTGGGCGGCTATGAATAGTAGTAATCAGCAGCTCAGAAGCTTATCAACAATTTTTTTGCAGAATATTCAGTTTCAAAGCCATAAACATATATGAAGGCGTACAGTCTGAGCTCTGAACTCATCAATATTCAACTAATGAAGCCTTTTTCTCTCATCTTTTATGCACGGAAAATATAAAAATTTGTTAATTAATTTATCTTTGTACTCCAACTTAGTTGCTTGTTTTAAAAATATTGATTTTTTACTGCCTTTCAGATTGCTGACATAACCGATTGCATGCTTAAGAACAACAACAACAACATTAACATACTTATATACATATGAAAAGTAAATCAATATTGCAACAACTACTAACTGAAATACGCGCTAACTAAAAGCGATTAAACATTATACCGAAAACAAAATGTTTACCAACAACAAATAACGTGAATGCAAATCAATAAACATGCAAAAGGGTTCAAACGTAGCGAACCGTTAAACATACATACAACACAACAAATACGAGCTATCAAACTAGCAGCAACCAACTAGCGAACATGTTGGTAAACAAACATTCGGCACGCGGAAGCAACACGCGGAGAGGCATACCAGCTGAAGGCGAATGAAATCAAAAGCGCCACACAAAAGTTGGTGCTCCAACTGAGCGCTGAGCAAGTGTGAATGAGTGATGGAGAGAGCGAGCGCGGTGTCTAGCGCCAACAAGCCACAGAGTTGCTGAGTGGCGCACATTTGAAATCAACTAACAAAACTGCAGTCTAATGCTCACCTCAGCGGCATGATCAATTTGTAGAGGCACTTGAAAGAACGCCTTAGGAATAGTGTTTGAAAAGAAACGCTGAAAAATCGCACGTTACCAACTACTGAAGGCAAAAAAAAAAAAATATCTCACAGTTGCTTTCCACAGCATATGTAGACATTAAAGATCACCGCCAATAGTTCAGTTGCTAGCGAACGCGCCAACAAAGCACACGTGCCGAACTAGCGAGCGGCTGAGTGAGTGTACGTTGTACATGGAGAGGGCGTTTTATGGGGCATTTGAGAAAAAAGCTAAGCTTCAATGTGAGCGCATCTCAGCGGTTTTCGGTTTTAGTCGTGTGTGTGTGTGCATGTGTGACGTAAAGCTGAAAGAAATTTGAATTTTGAGGAATATTCAAATCTTGCACCCAAATCAATGGTCACAGCAGGAAGTCAAAACTACAATTTTCACGTGTTTTTGCGGTGGCAATGCAGACAGTGAACAAAGAAGAGCTTTTTTGGTAGCTGAAAATAAATAATTTGCACGTTTTTTTTTATTTTTTTTTATTTTTTGTTGGTGCTGTTGTGGTAAAACTTTGACGAGTTGGTGTAAAGAAATTATGGTTGCAATGCGAAATGCGGCAACAGAAGTGAAATAAAAATTTATTACCCAATTAAGTTATTTCGCAAGCAACAAGTCGATTATCGTAGTGAAGAAAAAACAATAATAACAACAAAAAAATTTGCAAGTTTTCTCAGTGGTAGAGAAAAAAGCGTGGAGATTACGAGTTGTTAAAAAATATTTCGTGAAACTGCATATGTGAAAATTGGTGGAAAAGTGCGAAGTACCGAAAACGAAGCAAGGAAATTGGCGATTGACGGTAAGTGGAATTAAATTTTTAAAATTTTTTCAATTTTTCTCAATGCTATGAAAGCTTTTAAGAAAAAATTATTTGTCAGTTAAAGAAAATATCGAGATAAGCAAATTCATTTTTGGGTGCCAATTATGGACATTTTCGCATCAGCTGGTTTTTACACAGGGTTTTCCAATAAGAGCTGTTATTTTGATATTCAAACAAAAATGACATTTATTGAGATAAATTTTCGGATATTTATTCCTGTATTAAATGGAAGAATAATGGGAAACATAATCAGCATAATCGGTTAAAAAAAAATTTATAAAATTTTTCTTCACCAAATTGCAAAGAGACTGCTACCCTCAATAGCTTCACGAATTCCAACTTTGAGGTCTTGAATCGACGTTGGCCTGTTGTGCTGCACATTATCTTTCACGTGACTTTAAAGGAAAAACTCCCAAGGTGTTAAATCAGAAGATTTCGGTTGCCAATTGCGAACACCTCTTCGAGACATAACACGACCCGGAAACTTCCCTCAAAAGATCGTATGTTTCGTTACTTGTATAGCCCGTATCGCCGTTTTGTGAAAATTACACGTTCTCCAGGTCAATATCATTCAATACCGGCCAGGGAAAATTATTAATCAGTTCCACATAGCACAATCCACTCACCGTTAGTGTTGCTCCAGTCTCAATTTCGCAAAAGTAAGGTCCAATGACCCCAGCCGAACATAAACCACACCAAGCGGGTACACATTGAGAATGGAGAGATTTTTCAACAACAAATCTAGGTTTTCCGAGCCCTAGATGGGATAAGTTTTCTTATGGATGTAGTTATCGAGGTGGAAATGGGCCTCATCAGTCGAGAATATTTTTCGATGAATTTTCCAACATTTTCATGCATTTCAAGGATCCAATCCGCAAAGACACGACGTTATTGATGATTGGCCGGCTAGATTGATTGCTTTCACTGAACTTAATGAACCTTAAGACTCAAGTCTTAGGCAAAATACGATGTAATTACGTCTGTAAAATGCCATATTCCAAAGAACGGTGAGGCACAAACCTGGATTGTCGTCAATACTTTGGGCTACAGTTGCAACATTCTTGTTAGTTGTTCTTCAGCGGCATGCACGTGTTTCATTTTTCACATCACCATCTTGTACCACCAACGCCATTTTTTCCTTTAATTTCTGTATTGCGCTCCGACAAGGGACTTCACGATAACCATGAAATGTTTTAGTTTTAGAAGAGTTTCCTCTCACCATTCTATATGTGCTGAAATCACTTGGTTAGGCAGTGCTCTACCGACTCCTTTTCGTCTATGTCTCTGCAGTGGCGACAGAAGTCATTAGCGACTTCTACCATCCTTGAGTCCCTATTAAACAGTGTCCGGTAAGTACGCCGATTCTTATCTTTATGGAGGTTCTGCTTAGAATGAGTAGAGACTTAGTACCTTATGCATTGATCAATGGTCTGTCTGGTCGCATTGCATGTGGCTTCACTCCACCAGCTGTTGGTTTTCTTACTGGTGTAGGTCGATTTTAGCAGGTATCTTGCAGAGGAAAGAGGTATGCGCGCAGCATGTCCAGAGTTTGTTACAAGTTCGTTGGCCTCGCAATTTCCTGTGATGTTATTTTATATCATATCTAGGAGCCCAAACCGCAATCGTTTCGCATACAGCTGAGAGTTTGTTTAAGATTTGCTTGCTTGACATAACAATAAGGAGATTTAACGGCCGCTGGGCTGTCGAAAATTATTTTGTGATGGGCTGAGGTCATTTATTAGTGTTGAGTTATCATAAACCGGCTACAAATATTACAGTTAGTTAAGCTTGAAAGGGGCTCAGTAATCGGCAAGTCGTGTCGACAATAAATGGTTCCGAGTGAACTCCACGACTCACCCTGCCATAGTGTGCTGAGCTAACAGAGAAGAAATCAGTACCGACCTTTGAACCAGAACTCACATTCATTCCTCACTGGGTTTTTTGTGGAGAAAATGTTGTCGCAACAGGTATTATCAATGGTGTAATCCACCTCTTCAAAAATGGTGTAGAATTCAGTATTCCGACGTGCCCTGTGTGGTTTCTGCAAGGCTGAATCGCGTTTAATCTTGCGGTGTGGCAATTTGCCTGTTATTTCCCAGATCTTGAGAAAATTTGAAGAATTTTATGTGCCTTCCTAAGGAGTTGAGTGATTGAGTATGGCCGTTCGCTGACCTCTGTTCAGTTTTCACTTGAAGATCTTTCTTCTCTTGATAGTATACGCCTGCACATTTTTACAGCAAAAATAATTGATCTACCACTCAAAAGCAATTTGTAAACCTCCACTTTTCCATACTTTTTCCAAATTTTTCAATTTATTAAGCAATTTTTGACTCCCTTAACTTTTGAAACAGTGAAAAGCTACCAGAACAGCATGCTATTTCTTGACTAATCTCCTCTATTCAGCGCTTTTCCAAAAATAACAAACTGGTTGACTCCAGGGAGTGTCACGCAGACGATACCGCGTCTATATTACTACATAAAGCGACCTAAGCTCTGTAACTCCAATCTTCCTATTGTGTTCTTAGTTTAAAAAGCAATTCTCATCCCTTTCTCAAATTAAAGTTGCCATTTTGGCCACTTTTCCTTTGCTGAGTTAGTGTCCTGCAGCTCTTCTTCGTCAAGAAAATCAACGCCTGCTTGTCATGTGCCGAACAGAGATTACCTGTTTCACTGTGTGTCCAGTAGAGTAGGACGTAAATTGAAGACTTGTGACGCCAACACTCGACGCCCTGAATCTGTTTTTGGCGTAAAATATTTAAGAGAGGCTTTATATCTCATTAGGTTACTTCAGTTAGCCCCTTGAACTACGAAGCTGTTAGAGATATAAGGTAAGAGCTCTACATAAGCCGGATGGCAGCAGGGTAGTCTCTCCAGCATCTCACTCATGCCTTCCTCCCAACACTTTCTACATGTGTCATCGTTACTGATGCCCATTTAGTGATCGTGTGTGGTCAACATGCATTATCTGTTAGTCTGACGTAATAATATCGGATCTAGTTTGTGTCCCCCTTCTTTGAGTAGAGCTGAGATGTCCATAGTTACGCCTTATTTTGCATGAAAATCCACCCATATGCCTTAGCGCCCAGTTAATGTGAATTATTTTTATTACAACAAATATTTTATCGCCTTTTCATACAGCACTGTAACTGCCAACATACTTCCTACTGTAAGAAAGTAAGACCTTAATGGCCGCTTGATTATGTAAATATATATGTATTACCCTTCTATAATCAGCAGCTTTCTACAGTAATTCTGTTGCTATTTTGGTAGCAATAATTTCCTTAAAATACCCGCAATATACGACCACAGTTCCTTCACCTTAAGTCATGTGGATAGCTTTGCAGAGCTTTTTTACAAACCTCAGTCTCTTTCTCTAGCTTTTTGCCTCTGTTTCAGCTGTCATTAGCTTGTTTTGAGTGCTCCGGTCATGCTGATCATTGATCACCGCCAGCCTGTAGGATCACTGAGCACTACTTCACTCATTATTTCGCTAAAAGTGGTATTGGATGAGTGCATAAGTTCGTGCCCGATTCCGCTGGATGCCGTTCGAATCGTTTGAGAGTGGCGCTCGTGAAAGAAATATATACATATTATATATCGTTGGAAAGGTGACAGTCCGAACTGTAAATCAAGCATAAAATAACTTCATTTTGATTTGATTTGCTTAGTGAAAAGACGCATGGAAGATGGACAACGAAAAAGATCATATGCGTCATATTATGTTATAGGAAGAACAGTAGGCGCTGCAACTAAAGATATTCGCGAAGTTTATTTGGACCGTGCTCCAGCACTCCGCACAGTAAAGAAATGGTTCGCAAAATTTCGTTCTGGAGATTTTAACCTCGAAGATCAACCTCGCAGTGGACGGCCTTCTGAGCTTGGCCCAAATTCTACTCCTTGAATTTTCCATTTAAGGAAAATCTTACACTTTATTTTATATAAATTTTGAAGCGATCATAAAAGCTGTCAATTTGTCCGGAAGAAATCAATGAGTCTTTAAGGAAAATCTTTAAAATTGAAAAAAAGTTTTCGAATCACATCTTCGGTTCAGTGTATTATAATAGAAAAAGAGACTTAAGCTATTACAGCATCTCAATACAGAATTTCCATCAGCATCAATTTCAAAAGAAAACAGTTTCAAAGAAATAATTGCAACAAGTTAATTAGGCAAACGATTGAAAATATTCTATTGGTTGACAAACTCAACTGTGCAATTTACATATTTCCATGGAAAATTCTCAGTTGAAAAGCTTTTTTGCCTACAGTCAGTAATTGAGCTAAGTACTCGTATGTATGTACATATGTTCATTACTGTTACTCTACTCTGCAACCAAAATGCTTTCTGAATGCTTTTAACTGGTATATATATATATGCATATACTAGGGCATTCCGAAATCGAAAAACATACACCAAAAATGATTGATCAACATAGAGACTTCCATCCATTTGTGTAAGAACTCTCTCTTGTGAAATTTCTATCGCAAAGCGGGAGCAAAAGAACCTTAGCATTGTTTTCTGACTTTGTTAGTGTAATATTAAAGGGTACAATTCAAATCGATAACACCCAATTTACTACTCCAATCTGCAATCAATTCTTCAACGAAAGACCAGCGCACAGAGACTCTGCTACTTTGAGAGAGCGTCCAAGTTCTATTGAAGTTAATGATGTTCCTTTTACCCGATACCAAATCAAGTTTTCTATATAAAAATTACAGCTGTCTGAAACCATTTTCTCTCCAGGACGTGCTTATCTTCCCAAAAATGCTACTGAGCTCCTGGAATAAAGTTCAAGGAAGTGGCTTTTACCAGCAATGTCTATCGCCCCACGTTGCCAAGATGAGAGAGAGAGAGAGTTAGTTATTGTACCAATGTTAAAGACAGTCCATCAAGTGACGTGTTTTCATAAATTCCACAAAAAGGAATAAAAATGTTAAAAGAACAATATTCGTTTACCAAATTCTAAGACTGCTTGTGTCTA